AAGATCAAAGAGACTCCAGGCTTGTGAATCTGATGCTTCCATGGATCATGGAGAAAGCTAAGCTGGCTTGATGACCTGGGGAAGCTATTGGCACCTTGATGGTTCTGAGGAGCTGTGTCCCAGATCTATGTTTCCTGGATCCACACCTGAAAAGTCTTTGAATCAAGGCAAACTGGAAACTGTAAAGCAAGAAATGGAATGTATGAACACTGCAATGCCAGTGAACTAAAGTAGACTGGAACAGGATGTTTTCAGTCAAACAACTACAAAGTGTTCTATTTGGAAAACACAATCTCAGAAAAAATGGAGTGGCTCTAATACTGAGGCAAGATGTAGCACAGGCAATTAGGGGTTATAATGTAAGGTCTGACTGAATAATATTAATCAGACTTCCAACAAGAAAGCACTGTCCAACCAACAATAAAGAAAGGGTGGAAGCAATATACTAAAAACCTACAGAGAAAATAGAAAAGGATGACAGACTCCTTTGAAGAGGAATCCTATGACATAGAACCTGTAAAGTGAAGTGAAAGCTGCTCTGAAAGCACTAGGAAGAAAAAAATCACCAGGAGCAGATGAGGTACCAATAGAACTATTTCAAGAAACAGACTGAATCTGTCAAAATCCTAATAGGAATATGCCAACAAATATGAAAAACAAAATAATGTCCCACAGACATTGAAAACATTCAGTATACATTCCAGTCCCCAAGAAAGGAGATGCCAAAGAATAAAGGCTCATTCCTCTGTTTTCCAGTGGAAGCAAAGTGATGCTCAAAGTGTTGCAATGAAAGCTTTTGCTTTAAATAGAGCAAAGAATGTCTGAAAAGGAAGAACCTCTAGAGATCATTTTGCAAATATCTGCTGGGCCGGCTACTAGAAGGCAACAAAGAATTTCAAAAGGAGATCAGCCTATTCTTTATAGACTTCAGCAAAGCCTTCATGGATCATTAGAAACTATGGATTGTTCTAAAAGAAATGGGTGTTCCCAGGGATGGGGATCTGAGTCATAGGACTTGCTGTAGAGTTGGATTTAACTTGCACCAACAACACAACTCAGACTCGACTTCTAAGAAAAAATGTTTGGGGCTCGGGACTTGGGACTGAAACCCAGAGACTTGCCAACATCCCTAGGTGTGCCTCAGCAATTGTTTGTCCTGATCCATAACCTGTACTGTGGACATGAAACTACTGATAGGAAAGAATATGGAGAGAGTGAATGGTTTCCTATAGGAAAATGTGTCAGACAAGGGTGCATTTTATCCTCTTATCTATTCAGTCTTTTTGCAGAACATATCATACAGAAAGCAGGACTGGATTCAGATGAAGAGGGAGTAAACATTGGTGGAAGAAAAATCAAGAATTTAAGATATGCAGATGATACCCTCTTACTGACAGAAAACAGCCATCACTTGAAATGACTTATGATGAATATAAAAGAAAAAAGTGCTAAAGCAGGACTGCAGCTGGACATTAGGAAGACAAAAATCATGACTACAAAACAACTGTTGTTGTTTAGTCGTTAAGTTGTGTCCGACTCTTCGTGACAGCTACACAACTGTAAAATTGAGAGTGAAATGGTTAAAGATTTTGTATGCCTTGGTTCAATCATCATGCAGCCAAGAAATTAGAGGAAGACTGAGACTTGGAATGGCAGCAATGAAGAGGTTAGAAAAGATAATCAAGTGTAAGGACGTGTCACTGCAGACCAACACCAAGATCTTCCACACTATTGTACTCCCAGTCACCACATATGGATGTGAAACCTCGTCAGTAAAGAAAACTGACAGGGAAAAAAATGATTTGTTTGAAATGTGGTGCTTGAGGAGAGCTCTGTGGATACCCTGGACTTCCAGAAAGATGAACAAGTGGGTCCCTGAGCAAATCAAGCCTGAACTGTTTCTGGCAGCAAAAATGATGAAACTGAGGCTAGGCACACCATGAGAAGGCAAGATTCTCTGGAAAACACAATAATGCTGGGAAAGGCTGGAGTCAGCAGGAAAAGAGGGAGAGGAAACACAAGATGAATGGACTCCCTAAAGGAACCACAGGGTTGAATTTACAATAGGTGAGCAGAGCCGTTGAGAAAAGAACATTCTGGAGACTACTTATTCACAGGCTCACTGTAAGTCAAAGATCATTTGACAGCACATAGCAGCAAATTGTTCTCTATAAAAGACATGATCATTTAATTTTGTGGCATGTGATTATCTTAACATTTGCTTCCAAGAAGACACGGCAAGCATAATAGGTACTTTAGAAATTTTAGTTGAGCTTTCTGGATGTTGCTTGAATAGTACCATTGAACCTAGTATAAATGCCAATTTAGCTTACATTTTGGACCACTATTTTCCAAATACCAGATGACATACATGAAATCATTATTCAGGCTGACCCTGTTTTATACCCATCTGGACCTTTTTAAGTTCAGCAGCAAAACTACTCTGAGCGCATTTGGTTTTTGGTGTGATGAGGACTGGATCAGGTATGCACGGGGGGGGGAGTTGCTTTAAATGAGCTTGCACCCAGTCAAGTGCCTCTTTTCAGTGTGATCCAACATGATCCTGTTTCCCTGTCTGATCACATCCTGTGTTTCAAAGAAAGAGACTTGGAGGGCATTAACATTTGATTACTATATTGACAACATTAATTCAGTGATTTAAATATTTAAAGATGTAATTTTAATAGCAGAATTTACTTTCTGATTTCTAATGTTCAGCTTTAACTAAGATTTTCACCTAAGATGCCAAGTTCTGCTTTTCCTCCCTTTCCCGCTATTCTTCCATCATGTGCAGAAGGGTTGAGAAGGTTAGGTTTTCTCTGCTGTGTTTTGGAACTTAGGAAACATCTTACATCTTTTCAGCCTCCCAAGAATTCAGAGATGGAAAGAGGAATAATATTCAGAGCATTTGGGAGACGTCCATCAGAGGTGGGTGAAAGAGTGGCCTATTGACTGTGCTTGTCCAGCCCTGTATTTCTGTGCTGGTTTTTATGAAAAGATTCATAGATTGCTTTATGAATACCTAGCAGATCGGTTCCCTGTTCTACCTTATGAGAGAAGAGCTAGCCAAATGGGTCCAGAGCACCACAAAAGGAGGGACTAGAAAACCACTTTTGAGTACTTTACACCTAGAAAACCCTGGCAGTCACCATACATCAGAATCATCTTGAATCAGTTATCCAAGCAACTAAACTTGGAGCACAGCTTCTGGGAGAAAGGTGGGATAGAAAGAAAATGTAAAAATAATTAAATACAGTTAATAGAATGTGTTATAATAACTGCATGCTGCCAAGTCAACTCTGTCTTATGGCTACTCTTCCTGGGGTTTTTCTAGGTAGAGAATGCACAGAAGTGGATTCTCATTCCCTTCTTCTGGGGGCACCCTGGGACTGTGAAGCTTGCCCATGACTACACAGGCTGGCTCTTCTCCCAGATGGCACAGTGGGGAATAGAACTCTCAACCTTTGGCTCCACAGCCAGACATCTAAACTATCCAGCCAGCTTGATACAACGTGTAGGAGAGACAAAGGTTTTTCTCTCGTGGTGATTGTGAGAAAAGCAAATTGGATTCTTTCCGCCTTTGCTTTTCATTTGCAAGTCATAATAACTCCAAACATGAGGTGAATAATTGGTGGTTTCATTTGCACGCGGTTTCTAGTGGAATTTTTCTGATACTTCATACAGTTTTGCTATGTTTAGACAAAGACAAAAGGCTATGTGCCTGTATAAAACATTTGAGATAGTAATGGGAGAACTGCATGTGCCAAGTGTTATTTGTTTTATGTCAAAGAAATGGATGCATTCCAAACATTACTGGCTATGTCTCAACCAGGGAGAAGGCAATCCCTCTTCCTGACACCACGGGATGAGATGCCTCCCTTGCTTGGACCATGGAAAGCCAGTGAATTCAAAGGCAGGAATGGGAGATGTGAAGAATGCCCTCAAACACCTCAAACAAGCCCAGAGATGCCCTTGAAAGGCCCTTCATGGCCTCAGCTCAGCTGTCTCTTGACTGACTTCCCCTTCTTCATTTTTGTATACATAGAGTGACGTAGGAATAGGGCCTGAGCGAACACAGGAGAAGTGGTTTGTTGTTGAATTTGGTGGAAGTCTACTTCTTCCTTCCATATTAAAATTTCATTAAGGAAGCAGGAAATGGAATTCTAGTGAGTTCCCTGATAAAACTACTTGGCATGTGTTAGTTTAGGCCCTATTCCTACATCATTGTTGTTTGGTTATGATGTGGAGGTGTTGCTGTGTGGTCTGGCCCAGCATGAACCACACTCCTAATGTATGCAAAAGAGGAGCAATGTAAGCTGGGCAGACATTAGGATCATATTCTGCCAGGGCATCCCTGTCTATAGAATATGTTGCGAAAGGAGGGTTGAAAAGGCCCAAAGGAAGGTTGTATAGAAAGGAGAAAGTCACCTGCCTTTTGGCACTGACTCCTTTTTTGTCCAGCTCTCTGAGGGATGAGTTGTAAATATCCTCTGTTTCTCTGCAGCTTTAGATCACCCCTTTCCAAAGCAGCTCCAGCCCCTGGATTCTTAAGAAAGCACAGGATTCCTCTCATGTTCATACAAACCCATTCACACAAGCACTGGTTTTCAGTGGACGTCTCCAAGGCAAAAAGATCAAAGATTTGTAATAAGACTTTCCAAGTTGCCTTTGGGGATGTTGCAGGGAGGCTGATGGTGGAGATTGCATCCAGTGACTATTGGAGGGATTTGCTTTGTCTCTTTCTCTCTTTTATCTCCTCTCCTCCCCCCCACCCCAATTCCTTTCCTTGGAGCATTTGTCTTTGAGGGACCTGGGGTGTTCTTTTGATCAGTTCAGTCTCTCTCTGGCACTTGAGTCCTGATTGGCTGAAGGACTTAGAGGGAGAGAAAAAAAAACTTTAATTAGGAAGATAATCTCTTCTTACAAATTTCAGTGGCTCCATTTCACCAATCCCCTTTGCTTGCACTTGAGGACTGATTGTCCTCCAGCGAAGTCCGGATACGGGGGTCTTTCAACCTCTCTACTCACTTTAGGAGTAGAGGCTAGAAGCTCATTTTGCTCTTCTCCTGGTTTGTTTCCACCATCTCCACCTCTCCCTCCCCCAAAATTACCATCCTCATATTTTAAGTTCTTCTTTTGCCGTCTTTCTTTCTTTTATTTTTGAGGGGTGGGGTGAGGAGAGATTATGTTTCAGATGGGCTCTTATCCAGGAACCTTGCTCCTTGCATCCCTCTTCCACTTCAGCCATCCTTGGTGAGTATTCAGTGCTCCTTGCTTTACGTTACAGACAGAAAGGACAAACATTCTGCACTATCAAGTATTTGTGTTCCTTCCCACCTGGAATTGTTATTTCTCTCCCCCTTTTCCCTTGGATTGTTATGATGTTTGATATTTTACGGACGTCCAACCTCACTCAACGGCAGATCCTACAGAACCATTTTGATCTCCAGAAGCCCAGCCAACCGTTTGGATAAACCTGCAGAAACCCCAGGGAAGCTGTTGCTAAAGGTTCTGGGGTGTCACTTCTCGTAGGTGAGATGAGCTAGTTGCAGAGCTTGCAGTTCTTCTGTCTGAAGGTTCTTGATCTTCATCGCCTCATCTTTATTGTTTCTCTGTTTCTCTTTTGTGGCCTTAACTGAGCAACTGAAAGCCAGGGATTTCGCTGATATTCTCCTACAACGAATGTAAGAAATTCAGTGGCTTTGAATTCACATGCAATGGTTGTAATAGCTTCTTATGTCTACAGTTTGCTAGGAAGAGAATACACAGGAAAACCCTAAGAGAAACCAACCCCCTACATTTAGCTGTAGTGGCTGATTTCTGAGTTAATATCTTTCCATTGGCTTTTCATGGCAGCCAGTAAAACTGGGTAAAATCTCAGTTGATTCAGACAGGCCCTTTGGCTGAACTTCCTCTAATTTTATTGCATTGGTTGAAAATATTTAGAAGGGTCAAATTTTATGCCAGGGTACCCAGAAAGGGGGAGATTTTTTTTTTCTGGAAAGGAACCGACTCTCAGCATAATAATAAGAAGGGAACTATGTTTGCTAGTATGTTGATATAAAATGTATGCTTTCAGATACATTGAATTTACCATTAGCAGCATGAATTTAGACAACAGGGATCCCCCTGCCTTCATCTTTTTGTCGCTCTCTCATCCTTGTCGATTCATTGTTTAGCAGACTCCGTGTTTACCCTGCTCTTTGCAAGTTAGGTGTCTACAGCTTGTTGAAAGAAGGCAATGACCAGTTCATCTCTGGTCGTTGCCATGTCACATTCCCTTTAGCCAGCTGAGGATTCACTTATGAGTATAAATCAAGGTATGTGGAAAGGGGAGAATTCTTCAATGAACCTTGTTGCCCTTAACAAGGACTAAAAGAGTGATAATTAAAATAGGAGAAATCTGTCTTTCTTTGGCAGGAGTAGTAAGCTGTGGGGTCCAATCCACAGCTCAGAGGGCTCCGGGCAGCTGTGGGAATGACATGCGTTTCTGCTTTAACACCCAAAGGAGAGCTTGTGTGGGTGATATAAATAAATGATATCCATATTTTGAGTGTATCCATTTATTTGCTCTTTGGACGTTACAGCAGAAGGACAGAAAGTGTGACACACACATCTGCTTGTAGGTGCTTCTTGAAATATCGGAAACCATCCGTGGTTAATGCCTTTCAGTGGATTAACACAGGACGGCAGCTGTGTTTAGCTGGGATTTTGTGCCACAAGGTTAAAAACTCATTCGCTTTAGAAACAAAAGTTTCAGGAGGGTGAAAGGAAGAAGATGGAGGTTTGCCACCTTTGCCAGAGGGCTACAACAGTGGCCACTCCATAATAAAGGAGATGGTTACTGCTTACTTGAGGGACTCTGTTTTTTGAAAAAAACACAAGTGTTTATTAAATTAAAATTTGTGTGCTAATTAAAATTAAACTGTCCAAGAACAATTCGATGTAAATTGAAAAGAGTGAACAAGAAAGGGGAAAAAATAGGATCCAGCCTCTATGAATTACAGCACCTGGAAGGGGAGTATTATGGTCAAGGGAAGTACACCATGAAAGTGATATAGGCTTTTAAGAACTCTTATCCTTTTGAAATGAATAAAACATCTGACAGTTGGGATCATAGTCGATTGGAAGACATGCTTTTTCCCTATTTAGATAAGTCACATACACATCAAAAAATGTTAAAAGAGGAGGAAGCAGTGGAACTCAGATGGCTGAAAGTAAGGAAGTGAAGAGGTGAAATCAGAGCATATTAAATGCACGTTCTCGGACCATGGTTTCTGTCACCCTAAATCCCGCCCTCCTTGTGCTAGAATGATGAGGTTCAAGAAGAGATTAATCCAGACCTACAGATCAGTAGTTTTGACCCATGAACCCAAAAAATAAAAACTTGAGTTGTTTTTGTTCAGATCAAATAAATAAATAAATAAATAAGTTATTTATTTATTTATTTATTTATTTATTTATTTATTTATTTCATACATCAGTAACAAAAGACTAAATCCAAATTTAGTCGCAACTAGAACAGACCCATGGGATCACTGACCAAAATTCTGCTAGTTATTTCTGCCAGCATAACGAGTCGGTATAAATCTGAGTGGCAAATTGCCACAAATTAAGAAGTTAGGAAAGGGATTTGCTTTTGTGCACCAAGTGGTGTGACTCAGCATGCAATGGCAACATTCTTAGGCTAATGTCTTAATTTGTGGCACTTAGCTGCATAGATTGACAGTGATTGTAAATTATACTGGCATAAAAACACAACAGGATTTTGGTCATTGAACAGTGAGTCAAAAGTTGTGTAAAGCCCATTTATTCAGCAGGTCTGACGTAGTTGGGAAAAGCAATTGGATTTAGGCTTTAATCAGATGCAGGGATGGATCTTCAATCAAATTCATTAGGGGAAAAGCAGATTATTTGAACAGTCAGGAAAGAGAAACTTGCTTCACCTCTTTGGCTGAGCTACGAGAGAGGAAATCTCCTCTTCCCACCAATAATTCTCTGCAGGCCCCAAAGCCAGTAGATGTGAAAGCTTAGAGGATACACCAATAGATGTAATTCAACGTAGTATTTTCAGCAAAGTGATTGTGCCTTTAAGTGAACACGTTCTACAGCTGAAGATTTATACACATTGATATTGATTTGAGCTTCAGGTATCTGTGGTGCTTACTGCTTGCTGGAGATGAGGTAGAAACGCAGAGATGTCCATCTGAAAGTTCCTTTTCAACAACAATAGCATGTTGACTGGTGCCCCAGATGATTGGCAGATGAATGTCGCCCCGTGTCTGTCCAATGCAAGACTATTAAGTAATCAGTGAGGACATTTTTTGTTGGCTGTTAAAGCTTTGGTGAGTTAATAAATTAATCAGATAGGCTTTTGGTCTTTGTGTAATTAGAGGGGTTTCCCACAAACAGGTCTAGAGTAATTACAGGTAAATCAGTAAATTGCACAGTGGTGTTTCAGAAGATGGTCACAGGGCAGTTTTGTAGCAGGAAAACTGGAGTGCTTCCTGTGTAATATTCCTCAGGCATAAATTAACTGTCTCACTGCTTCAAATATAAGTTATATGTTCAGTCTACGCACTTGGAGAGCTACATTTAGGAAGACAGAAAAGGAATAGAATATGTGGCGAGCCCATTCACTCATGTCTAGTCATGTAGCCCTAAACAGTTCATATTAAGAATATTGATCAAGAGGCACTGAACAAAGGTTACTTCTGGGGGCAAAATTTCAGACTGTTCCTTGTAACATGAGCATATGATCTGGCTAAGATCACACTTCAAAATGTTATGGAAAAATCTGAGCTACAAACATTCAAGGTATCTATAATGATTTGCTCAATCTTAAAACAAATATTTTAAAACTAAATTAAAAATCTAAAATTAAATTAAATATTGAAAATAACTAAATGCTTTTATTTTTATTTTTGGCATTAATCATTCAGATTTTAACACTGGTTCTTACTTAACATCCAAGTGTTTTAAAGTTTGATACCGATTTAGCAGGTCTATTTCTGTTACTGTGATCTGATTTGTTTTGAATTTTTATATTTGCAAGTTACCTCAGGGACATTTTCTAGTTGTATCTCTGTGTATTTTAAATTTAAAAATGGAGTTACCACCATCCCAGTCTTCCAGTGTGGACTAAACTAGGCCGTCAGATAATTTTATTTCTCTCTTTGCAAACTGAAGGGTAGCAAAAGCTACCACTTTTCTCACCTTCTGTGCTGCTCACAGTAAAACAGAAAACAGCAGATAGCTTTGTGGAGAAAAACTTTCAGATATCATTCAAGCTGAAATGAAACTCAAATGATTCATGGCAAATGAAAATAATATTTTAGCTTTTGTCATCATTGAAACTCAAAGCACCATAACAATTGGCCTGCTTGAGTGAAGCAGATTCTTTATATGTGCATTTGTTTACATTAAATAATAAATTAATGAAAAGCAGGATTGCAAGAAAGGTTAAAATGCATCTGTTAATGCTACTTCATATCCCTGTTCTCATCACACTTAGATCTTTGAGCCTTTAGTTTTCAGAATAGGTCAGGGTGGTCTCTCTCTTAGTCTGCAGTCTGCTTAGTCTTTGGTCAGGAGAGTATTATTGTTCTGTCTGGCCACTGCAATAATAAACCGACAGACATTAAAAGTCTTCTTTAAAATGGGATGGTGGTGGTATGTGTATTTTTCAAGACAACATTTCCCCACAGAGATTTGGCTCCTTTGTCTCTAGTGAACTTCAATTTTTGTGTTCTTTTCTTTTTCTTTTTTTGCCAGAAGCTGTTTTTGTCTCTGAATCAAGATAAATGCTAAGCTATTAAAAAGTTATTTACAAAAAAGTCAGAAAAGGCATTTCAGCAGACGTATTTGCTATCCTCATACGTTCTAAACAAGGAGAAGGGCTGGATATAACTTGCTGATAAGGGTCCTAAATTTCACACATGCTGAAGATGGGCTGAAAAACTATGAAGCATTAATAGCCACATTTGTACTAGCGTACATCAACTTAAAAAAAAACAAACCCAAATTCATGAATGTGGCTTCTGCTCCCTTGCTCATGATCAGTCAAACCAGGAAGTTTCTAATTAATCTGTAGTTGTAATCAAAGTCCCTGGGATCTTGGGAAGCTGTGGTTATCAGTTTAAGGACAAGCCAAGATATTGCACCACATTTTAAAGTTGGTTTCATACTTTTGCCTTTTTCAAAGCTGGGAGGTAGTTTCCTAGTTTGATCATAATAGGAAATAATGACGAATTAAAGGATTCCTGGCTTGTCTGTGTTCTGAAGAGATGTAATAAATGGACTGTGTGTATGTATATATATGTATGGGCTAACGGCTCATTCCTTTCTTGGTTTATTAAGCTTAGACCAAAATCTGTAAAAGTGACTTTTTTGGGCCTCAGTCTAAAAAAAATCTGTTCACCAAACTCTGGCTGTGCGAAGACCACCCAAACTTAGCTAACATTTGAGATCAGAAATAATTAATAATGAAAGCTGAGAGAATGGCTGTGTGAGAAAAGATTTGGGCTAGACAGAGATCTCACCAGGGTTTTACCGATAACGCTCACCTCAGTTTCTTTACACTTTTCCTGTGGACTTTATTTCTACTTCACGATAAAGCTGCAACGATCTCTGAGATGATTTCCCGTGGCATAACCATTTGCCATGGTGTCATGTATTCAAGAATAACACCGGCTGGCTCTCGTCCAGCTTTAATTGCACATGCTGAACTTGAAAGGAGGTCCTGGATGGAGGCGAGTATCTTCACTCCCCTCCGCTCACATCAGCAGCTGCTTTCCTCGGGTGAAATCAATGGGTGATGAACTTCAGCCTCCTACAGTCAGGAACGCTCTCCTAAACATTAGAGTAAATATTTCTTTTTCTAGACATTTCCAGTCTTTCCTGTCCTATTCTCAGCATAAAAGGGGACAAGGGGAATCTTTCCATTTTCTTCTATCTGATTAAACAAATGAATTATTATTTCGATATCATATCATTTTTCAAGTCTTTGCATATTTTTTCTATGCTCAAACCTCAGTTGAAAAACATCCTTTTTTTTTTTACACCAAATTTCAAAGGGAAAAGGTAAGGAACATTTTATTTTTTAAATTGCATTTTATTTTGTTTTCTCTATCAAAGTGTAAATCTCCTTGGACAGACTGCTTTCTTCCTGTCTTCTCAACAGACATTTGGGAGGGTCCTAACAAAGAGAGAGAACAGGTGGAAAAAGGTGCAGAAAAATCAGAACACTAGCCATTTGCATATAAAAGTGCAGAGGTTTATATCATAGCATAGAAATGCAAATAGCAAAGATCTATTGTCTCAACCCATCAGTTTTACAGATTCATTTCCAAGGATCCACACAACCCTCCATCCATTGTACAACTGCTAAGCATTTTTTCCCTGCCTGCTCATGTGTGCACAATTGGTGCAATTTTACTCATTAACATTATGTGCTGGCTGGGTGGTGGTGGTTATTGAACAAATATTCCAAATTAGGATTTTCATGCCCCCTCCATCATTTTTTTTTTCTGTTTGACTTGCAAATCTTTTTTTAAAAATCAAAGTAAATATTTTAACATAATTTAACAATATTAGCTCAGAGAAGGGAGAGGTTAGCCACCCGGAGCTCTCAGCTCGAGAATGTGGGCAACGATTGGCATGTGTGATGGGAGGCTGGGCAGAGTTCGTGGTGGTGGCGAGTGGACAGGGGTAGAGCAGAGGAATTCCAGGCATTTCCTCTGCGTCTCTCCATTGATGAACCCTCTTTCTCCCTTCCAGGTCAGTGAATAATTTCCTGATGACTGGTCCCAAGGTAAGTGCTTTTCCTTTGATCTGCGTTTCTAATTCCAATAAGCCCTGATCAGTTGGAAGTAGCTTGTTTCCAGCCCCTCAGCTTTGCTAAGGGTCAGTCAGACGCTTCCTGCACTCCAAGCTTGGTTCTTGTGGCCCAAACCCAAAGTGCAAAAGCAAATAAAAGAAGCTGCTTTCCCCCTATTTCCTTGTCACAGTATCACGGAGAGGGATCAGGCTGAGAAACAGAGCTCTCTACCCCATGGCGTTCCAGGGAGCTTTGTGGCTGAACAGTGATTTCACTCTAGGTCTCTCCTGTCCAGATTCAGATTCTCTGCACTGCAGCAGCTTAAAGAAGCAGGCTTTTGGAGATTCTTCAGTTGTGCAGCCTGTTCCTCAGATTTCAGGGTCAAGACCAGAAGACAGAGAGGTCTTTGTGATGTCACAGAGACAGGGCAGCCAAGTGTTTGGAACGGCCAGAATTGCTTCCGGCCCTTTTAACTGTGGAATTGGGCACCAGAGGAAGTAAACGTGCCCAGAATCTTGGTAAAAGTCAGCGGATCAGAATAGTATGATGACTCGAAGCTGGAGGAAGCCCTGTTCTTTTCACCTACTGGTTAGGCAGCAAAATACTCCCAGTGTCAGCAGGGCTTGCTACCATTCTCCGAGGGCTGGCATCTTGCCTTATGTAGAGCACACCTGGCATGTATGGAATTTTTCTGTAACAGTGCTGTGGCTGCTGGAGGTCTCACCCCCTGCAACCCATGAGAAGTTCTCTTTCCCTACACCTTGTGCAACAAGAAGGCTCAAATACAATAAGCTCAAACTCCGCCCCGCCCCCAACACCACTCACCCTGCCTGGAGAGCCAGAAAAGCATAGCAGTTTCCTGATATTCCAGCTAGCGCCCGGGGATCTGGCTACCCTAACGCCTAGATTTACCCTGCCAGTCATTTAGTGATTCATGCTCCTGTGCCTTTAATAGTAGCTTGACGTCATATATGTTGAGCCAATAGTCAATAAACCGTTGAATGCACTGTGGGAAACTCTCCATGATGGTTTCTGCAGATCAGGTTGCTAATAAAGGCAAGGCAGGGGAAAGTTACTTCTTTGACTGCAAAGTATTTTGAATTACCATGAGATTTCTTATCCAAAAAAGAAACGTTGCCAGATGTCCTAAGTAAAGCCGCAGATGCAAGCCAAGCCAAGCCATGGCAGGAGTGAGTGTGTGGGTGGCAGCTGGGGAGCAGATTTCATTGGGTAGCTGTAATTGTTGCTTGTCCCTAAGGGAGATTCATGGGGCTCAGAGATATCAGATGTAAAAATTAATTGGAAACTATACAAACCATGTAATAGGGCATATGCAGCCCCAGTGTCTTTAGACAGCAGCTTCTTATGACCTGAGCAGCAGGTCCTTAGCCATCTGCCTACACTGGGGTGGAAAAGGTCTATATGGCTCAAAGGCTGTACGAGGCTCAAAGCACAGAGGTCAGTTCACAGGTACAGTGGGGTCTTGACTTGAGAACTTAATCCGTATTGGAAGGCAGTTCTCAAGTCAAAAAGTTCGCAGGTCAAATCTGCATTTCCCATAGGAATGCATTGAAAACCATTTGATCCGTATCTGCTCTTTTCTGTCCATAGAAATTAATGGGAAGCTGCTATTCCTCCTTCAACCACTAGAGGGGGATATTTTATTTCTTTTTTTCTTAGGTCAAGAAAGGTTCAAGGAAGGCAGGGAAAATACAGTCCAGGCAGTACAGTGGACCCTTGACTTACAGAATTAATCCGTAGTGGAACAGGGGCTGCAGGTCAAAAAGTCTGTAGGTCAAGTCTCCATTGAGCTACAGTGCATTGAAAACCGATTAATCCCGTAACAGGCTGTTTTTGTTCCATTTTGGTTTTTGTCTGGTCTGTAAGTCAAATTTCAGTCTGCAAGTCAAACCTAAATTTTGCGGCCAGAGAAGTCTGTAACTCAAAAAGTCTGTAAGTCAAGCCATCTGTAAGTCAAGGGTCCACTGTACAGACCTTCCCCTTGGTCTGGACAGAAACCTCACACTCTTTCCACCTCTTGAATGATGGTTTATTGCAATTTCTTTTCATGGATAGGAGAACGTCCCCAAGTCAAGGTTTGCTTGACCGAATGTGACAAGGCTGCGCCAATTCTTGATTGTCCCTTCTGATCTGCAGGATATCTGCAGGGCTGCTCTATCTCTTAGAAGTTAAGGCATTGTGCTGCTCATGTTGCCAATGATAACGATTTCACTGCTGGTTGCCAGGTTTTCTTTCCTGCTACTCAAGCACTGAGAAATAAAATGGTAGTGCATTGCTCCCTTTGGACATTTTTTTCAGTTTGGAAGGTACCTTGGAGGTAATCTAGTCTGACCACCTCAGTCTAGAGAACTTGCAGCTACAACATGCCTCACAGATGGGATTGTTGTGGGGAACACCCCAAGGGAGAAGAGCCCACCAGCCATGCACTGAATTGCTCTTGTCATTAGAAAAAACTTTTCTGAACAAAAACGAGACGTCTCAATCCCTTCCACAGCTATTGTTGGCAAGGCAAGTCTCACCCGTCCTCGAGTTGTGCCTTTGAGTTTCTGTATTACATCAGGGGCGTTGCTTTTGATCATACTGAATTTCATCTTAGTGGCTTTAAACTGTTAGCACGCAGCTAAAAGATCACCATGCTGTTTAACTTACAAATTGTTCATTAAACAAGTGTCCAATCCCCATTTAATCTTTAAACTGTTAGCACGCAGCTAAAAGATCGCCATGCTGTTTAACTTACAAATTGTAAATTAAATTGGAAACAAGTGTCGAATCCCCCTTTTCAGGGCAAGGCTGTCTTTAGCAGTCTTGGCATCTAGGGCAAGCAGAACAAAATGCATCCTAAAATCAACAGGTTTATTCCTTCTGAGACCCTAGAAGGGTGCTAGTAGAAACCCCCCCTGTGCTGCCACTGGCCTGCCCCAGAGAGGCCACAGCGCACTGGGAAGAACTGCATCTGATGGGTGCCGAATGTGGTGGTTCCTTTGGAGGCAATAATTTGCAGTTTACTGGTTGGATAGCTTAGTGGTTTAGGCATCTGGCTGCAGAGCCAGAGGCGGGGAGTTCAATTCCCCACTGTGCCTACCAGAAGAGTCAGCCTGTGTGGCCTTGATCAGAATGGACTTGACGGGCACAGGATTATCATTTATTTAGGAAAGTTTTAATTTGGACTTCAACTCCTGGAAATCACCCGACCTGCATAAGTTCAGATCCAAAAAGTTACTTTTTCTGAGCACTGCCCTTTCTGTCTTAGACTTCTTACTCCACCCAGTCTGCACTTATTTTTCTAAAGTAATGTAATGGGTTGCAATGTTCCACTCTATTTGTTTGGTCATTACTTCTAAAGTTGTAGCTTAAAGGGGGGTTTGGAACAATTTTTTTTTTAATTTTTAAGTTGTTAGAAAAATGTTAATTGTAGTAAATAACAAAAAGTAACCAGTCAGTAATTAACGTGTTACTCTTGAAGGCCAAAGGCTAATGCTAACGTATTTTAAAAGATAACATGCCAAAGTCTGGGCTATAGGATGGGCTTGTATGGAGGAGAATACTCTTCAACTGGGTTAGAAGACAGATGGAGTCATGTTAAGGTAGTACTTGCAGTCTGTTCTAAAGAGGTTCGTGTGTTTGTGTGTGGGGGATAATCAAAGCTTGAAGCATGAACCGGAAATTCTGAAGAAGGTTTATTACTCATGATTGCTCATTACTCTCATGGATTATTTTCAGAGAAATACAGTGTATTTAAATGCATAATTTAGCACTGGGCATCTTTGAAAGAATAGTTATTATAAAGGAAGAGGAGGACACTTGTAAGACTTGTGCACTCCTTTTTCAATCAGATTTACTCAAATTGAAGCCACATTCAATTCAATGGGCCTTAATTCCAATCAATAGTCCATAGGAACTGGTTCTATGAAGAGCAAGTTGCTTGGTTAGTTTTTATTTGTTTTTTTAAAAAGCAACCAGTCTACTGGGGCACTATGGGAGCAGGTTGGCTCAAGGGCAGAAATTTGATTTCCACTGCAAGGGGCAGAGAAGTTTGCGCCACCCCCACCTTCAGTTTTTGCCTTCTCTTTGCAGTTGGGCAGCAGTTGCTGTTCTAAGTTTGGTGCCTGTGGCAAAGCCTCAGTTGCCTCATCCTATTTATGGCCTTACTATCCATCTTTTCCCATCGTTTCTCACAGACCAGGGCCCTCCTTTCCTTGTTTTCTGTTCTGTGGACACTCTCCAGTTTCTTAATGTACTTCTTAAAATGTGTGAGCTCATCTTATCAAAGCAAAGTAAAAGTATAAATATTACTTCTCATGCTCTGGCCACTATGCTTTGGTTAATGTTGCATAAATTGCATTGTTTTTTTAAACATTGGCAGCCACATGGCTGCTGGTTCATGTCCAGCTTGTTACCTACTTATGTGGTGCCCTCTAGATCAAAACAGTTGAAACTTCTGGTACATCCCAACCTTTGGCCATGCCTAGATGGCCACATGAAATGCAGGACAGGACTTTTGGTAGAAAAGGAATTTCAGAATGTATAGTTCATTAAACAAGTTTTGCTTTAATAAATCTGCTCGTCCACACAACCATTAAAGATGCTGGGACCCTGTCCTTCTTTCCACATGGCCACCCTTGTTCTCTGGGGAGCTGAGAGATGAGAGTTCTTGACAACTTCCCTTTGAACAAGGGAAGCTGTCAACAGGAATTGTACCGGAAGAGGAGTCAGTCCAAACTAGACAATGCAGTGAGCATGACTTTAGATTCAGAACTCCCTGGAATGATGAAAATGTCTAATAATCCTAAAAAACATTACATCAAATACCATTAAATAAACTATAGTAAACTTCAGAATGCTCCGAATTGTTGTATGCTTATTTAGTTTGTCTCCTGGCCCAGATGCTTAATGCTCATTTGTGAAGAACTATAATTGGATGTCATTTGTTCATTTCAGTCTTTGCAGGCTCTCCAAATTGTGTGGACTTCTTCATGTAGAAGAATTGCACCTGGCTTTCCCTGTTCCTTTCCAGTTTCCACAAGGCAGGGTCCAGCACTCAGGACAAAGGGCAGCTCAAGACATGGATCCTAGAGGGAACAGACTCAGTTCCTCGTGGAGAGACTGTTGGACATTAGACAGTGTGGGCTCAGTCAGCCTCAACAGAATTCCAGTTCTGTTCCTCATGCCCCAAACCAAAGATGAACACTCTTGCCCAGAGCCTGATTGAGGAAGGATAGGGTCTAGACTACAGCAGCTCTCTTTTTGGCCTTACATCCTCTGCTGATGCTGCATTCGGAACCCATCTGGACGAAGTTGAGAAAGATACATTCGAAATAACAACGACACTGTCATTTTTATAGGCTCTAGGTACAAATAAGAACTTACACGTGAGGTAAAAATAAGCCCCTAAAAATAGGCTTTGAATCCTAAACCCACATGCCTGGTGATTTTTTTCACTTTTCATTTTTCTCTTGGAGACTCTTCCTCTGATTTCACTGCCTTTTCCCTTACAGGCATATCTAATCTACTCCAGCAGTGTTGCTGCTGGTGCACAGAGCGGTATCGAGGAGTGCAAATTCCAGTTTGCCTGGGATCGTTGGAACTGCCCGGAGAGAGCCTTGCAACTCTCTAGCCATGGAGGTCTGCGTAGTGGTAAGAAAAATAAGCCATAGGCAGCAGCACTGTTGGTCACAAACAGGACTGCTTTCACCCTTAGATGCTAAGCGTGCTCTTACCATGCTGCAGCCCTGCTAAATAAGAGGCTGCCGCAGGACATAGCTGCCTGCCATCTCTGTACAATCTCCAGAGTGACCGTGTTGCTTTTAAAATGCAGCGCTGCTATCTTATTGTATTGCAACTCACACAAATCTAAAGCAAGTTTCCTAGCAAATTTTCCAATATATGTCTGGGGAAATGAAAAGCATTTTGAAGGCCTTCTGGCCAGATTGCTAGCAGCAGTTTAGCTCAGTCTGACATTATGACTAAATATGGGTGCCAAACATGGCTGCTCTCCCTATTGGTGGCTAATGCGAAATATCACAACAGACCTCCACACGTGACCTTTTATTTTCACTCTGAACCAACGAGACATCAAGGATTGAGAACCTGGCTGTTTTTTTTAAACTCCTAATGCATTGTTATTATACGCCATCAAGTCGCATCCAATTTATAGTGATCCTATTAGGGCTTTCAAAGTGTGGGGGATATTTAAGGAGTGGTTTTTCAAGTGTCACCCCACCCCCACCCCATGAATTGCCATGGCCAAGCGAGGATTTGAACCCCAATCTCCTGATTCTTTGTCTGCCACTCTATCCACTACACCACTGGTTCTTAACCTTTGTTACTCAGGTGTTTTTGGACTTCAACTCCCAGAAGCCTTCACCATCAGCTCTGCTGGCTGGGGTTTCTGGGAGTTGCAGTTCAAAAACACCTGAGCAACAAAGGTTAAGAACAACTGCACTACACCATGCCAGATCTCTCTAGTAGTTTAATCTTCTTTTAATACAACACAACTGTGAAATGCTTCAGGCCAGTGAGGGCCCATTATCTGAGCAGGGTATCCATGGCACCTCATCTCACCACTGCAGGATGGGGTGCCTGTCCACTCAACCACAGGCCGTTGGTACTTCAAACACAGAGCTCTTAAGCTTTGCCCTGGTCAGATTCTTTCACTCATGCTTTCTGCCTAGCGTTTCCCTTTAGCAAGCAAATAAGTCAGCAGCTCCTTCTCCATCAATCCCGTGGTCAGCCTGAAGCTACTGATTTCCTGATCACATCCATTTGTAGGGGCTCCAGAACAATTTATGAATGGTCGGCCATTCAAGAGCAGCCCATGTTGGAAGAAGAGAAGAGAATTCTACAGGTTCTCTCCCTCCCATGATTGCCTTCTGAAGTGGCAGGCTGAGCAATCCTGCTCACGCTTGTCTGAGAAAGTATCAAATCAACAGTGGTACTGTTTCATTTTGTTTATCAGAGAGTCATATTTCTTCCTGCCCGTTAATGTTCCTGGGTTTTACATGCCACAGTAATTACCACCACCTCCACCACCATCATGTTCCTACTCTGTTTCCATCTTCCCTCATTAGCAAAAGATGCTTCAGATTACAGTCACTGTGAAATTTCTTCAGCTGTTTTCTTGCGTTTTTACTTGACAGCAAACCGAGAAACAGCCTTTGTCCATGCTATCAGCTCTGCTGGAGTCATGTACACACTGACACGCAACTGCAGCCTTGGAGACTTTGACAACTGTGGATGTGATGATTCCCTCAATGGACAGCTTGGTAAGGAACAGTCTCATCAATACGTTACTGTTCCATACGCCAGGAGGAAGGTAGACATCTCCTTACCTTTGCCAAGCCTCCTTAGACCCCAGAGAAGTAGATACTTGGAGTGAGGCAAGGCCAAATGCTCCTACAGCCACCATTTTAGCAAGATAACAGACACTTAAGCCTATATTTGCTGACTAAATCTGCATCCACCCCTTGGGGAATTGAGGACATGGTTCAGGACGAGTCTGACCAAACACAGGTTAGAGCCCATTTTGTAATCTATCCCATTGTGCTGATATGAGCAAATAAATTATGCGTCAGTACCACCGCCATGTCACCCAGCAGAATTATTTTCAGTGGTGAAATACCTGACACATTTTAGGGACATGGGTTCAAATTATTATGGCCCACTGTGACGATTCTGCACAGCAGTTTTCTGATGCAGTTGCTTATATCCATTCTGGCTTGGACTCCAAATTAAAGGGAGGATCTGTAGGGGTGAATGAGGCACTGGCTGTCTAATTCTTACAAATTATCATTGTCTTGTTCAGACTGAAGATAAAGATTAAGTTGCTGGTGTGGTCAGCTATCTGCTTGTTGAACCAATGTATATCCCAGGAAACCATAATGCCAAGAAAAGCTGAGTAGATAGGTGGTGATCATTTTAAATGCTATCTTGCAGGACTGCTGTGTCATTGTTTCACTGAAGAAATCAGTTGCAAGACCACTTTCCAAGTGTTTATTTGAGTAAATCTGAACCTTGACCTTTCTCAGATGGAGTATGTAAGCTCTTTCTAGTCTAGGTTTAGACCCAGTTTGGGAACATCCTCAGTCAGATTGATGGGTGGGACCTGATGGGAAGCAGACAGTGCTTTAGATTCTACTGGATCCCTCAATGGCCCTCAACAATCAACCATGGTATCCATCTGGGACCTGGGACTTTGGTCTCATCATTATGCAGACAATACTCAGTTTAGTCTTTGTTTTTTGTTTTTTAACTAATGTCAAGGAAGTTTGTTTGTTTGTACGGGGTAGAAATTGAATAAATAAAATAAATAAAATAAAATAAATAATCTGGGCAGCAAACACAACCAAATATAACAACAATAGAAAGCAATTTAAAAAATCAGTAAGGAAAATTCCAAATCCCAGGGCTATGATAAATGAGAACTGATGGGTGCAATGATCAAACAAGCCCATGGGCTGCAAATAAATAAATAAATAAATAAATAAATAAATAAATAAATAAATAAATAAATAAATAAATAAATAAATAATAAATAAATTTTAAAAAAATTCACAGGAGGCAGACTAAGAGGAGAATGTAAGAATCCTTTGGGATGAACTAAAGAATGGTTTGGGGAGAACAACCAGCTCTTAAATTGCCTCTTGAAACCCAGGAGGGATGGGGCTAGCTGCACTTCTAGCAGAAGGAAATTCCAGACTGAGGTGGCCTGGCCACCACAAAGAAGCCTCATTGTGGGTGGATGGCTTTTGGGCCTCCCCCGGGGTGGCCACCCAGAGCATTCCCAAATACAAGGTAAGGGTGGGATGGGAAGATGTTTTGAGGGAGAGGCACTCAGACAGGTAACAAGGTCCTAAACTGTTAAGGGCTTTAAATGCTAACACAAGCACTTTGAATTTGGCCCAGAATCATACAGGCAGCTAGTGCAGATAGGCCAGGACAGGAGTTACATAGCCATATTGAGATGTTGCAGAGACCAATCTGGCAGTAGCGTTCTGTACCAGCTGTACCTTCTGAACCACCACTATGTGGCAATCCCACATAGAGAGCATTGCAGTAGTCTATTTTTGAGATTACAAATGCATAGACCAGCATTGTGAGAGAGTTCCTGTTGAGATAGGGTGGAGGGTGGAGGGGCAATCCACCTCAGATGGTAAAAGGTGGACTTGGCCACAGCCAAGATCTGATATTCCATTTTGAGGGCTGGGCCCAGCAGCACACCAAGATTTCACACCTGATCCTTTCAAGAGAGTGTGACCCTGTCAGGACCAGGCAGAGAGTCACTGGGGTCTCTCCCAACAACAGGACCTTCATCTAGTCAGGATTCAATATCATCCTGCTAGCTCTTGTCCAGTCCACAACTGCGGCCAGGCAACACTTCAGAGTCTGCACAGTTTCCACTGCTGAGGGGGGAAAGGAGAGATATAGTTATGTGTCATCAGCGCACTGATGGCAGTGAACTCCAAACTCCAGATGATCTCTCCCAGCAATGTCATATAGATATTGAACAGAATGGGGGAAGTGATCAACCTCTGTGAGACAACACATCGCAGCATCCAAAGGGATGAGGCAGCCTTCCTCAGCTGAATCTTCTGGGACCGGTTCCCGAGGAAGGAACGGAGCCAACTCAACGCTGAACACCCAATCCCTAACCCTGAGAGCTGGTCCAGGAGGACACAATGGTCAATGGTATCAAAGGCAGTTGAGAGGTCCAGGAGGACCAGCAGGGTCACCCTTCCCCGTTGGCCTCCTGGAGAAGGTCATAGACCAGCACAGCCAAGACTCTTTCAGTCCCATGGCATGTCCTAAAGCCCAGCTGATTTATAACATCTATGCTCCATCCTACACTTGAAAAAATATTTCAGAACGGTTTGCCTATCAACAAAACATACCAACAAAACAGACTTTAGCCCCAGACTGTCTCAATCCAGTCTGGGAGTGAACATGGACTTCAACTTGTTCATCCTTCCACACTTAGCCTGGGAATACCGCAGTCTGAGATGCAGATATGTTTGTGATTTCCTTTCCCGCTTACCTAGCCGAAAGGCAGCCACAAAGGGAGTGACCAAATCACACTAGGATAGGCCAACTGAATCAATGGGGTTTTGGCGAGTCACATCCTCTGCGTGTTCCACCAAGGTTTCTTGCAAGTATACCATGGAGTGGCAGGTCTAAGCACCAGTTGAGCACAAGACCACTGAACTTAAACTTATCCCTGTCATCTGTTACAAAGACTAGGGATGTGTATGGGCAAAATTTAAGTTTTCGTTTCATTTGAGTACTTCCACTGGGAAGCGCTTTTATTTTTACACCCCCCCCCCTCATGTATAGTTCCCTTTGTTTGCCACAAACAGTACTACCTTTTCCTTTTTGCCCCCCCCCCCCATGTATAGTTCCCTTTGTTTACCACAAACAGTACTACCTTTTTCAGGTAATTTCGCTTCATTTCATCCTCTCTCAGTTTTCCAGCACTATCCCAAACAGCCCTGAAGAACCCATAAATCACCTCACAAAAAAGCAATAGCAAGACAACAGAGAATCAATCTCTACTCCAAAAGTAGGCAACAAGACAAGTGCCGCCAAAAAAAAAAAAATCCCCCAAAAGAACCGATAGAAGCAATACAGCCTCAAAAATGAACAGAGACAAAGCCCAATAACTCTGAGGAAAGGGGAAGGGGCAAAACAATGTTCATTTTCCAAGCCAACCCTGTCTGGAATTTCTCATCCCCTTCCTTCATAAACTTTCTAGAAGGATCCTTTGATAAAAACAGGGCTCACCACACCCACACTTAAATCCCTGGGTGAGCAGCATTGAAGCCACCACTGTCATCAAGCCAGCACGGATGCCCCTTGAGCAGGTACTTCTTCCTACGGCAGTTCCTGTCCCTGTTCATTTTTCATGCTGTTCTTGGTCTCCATCCCCATCACCAAGGGCCCTCTCACCTAACCTTGCCTCTCTGCAGCACACAGGGACTAAGGTGGCTACAACCGGCAAGTACGCCAAGGAGGTGCACAGTGGCAAGGCAGGGGTGGGAGTGGGGTCCTTACTCTTGCTACCACCAAAGCCTTTGTGTATGTGTGTCTCATTTGTGGTAATATGAAGACCCAACTGCCCAAATCATGGGCAGAGAAGACTCGCTGGAAGAGAAAATAATTCTGGGAAAAACTGAAGGCAACAGAAAAAGGTCTGTAACTGGGACTGCGGATAACACAGAGCTCCTTATCCATGCTTTGGTCACAAAGATCCAACTCTTATGAAGAATCCACCCCTCACCTGTTTTGACGTTGATGGGATTGGCTGGAATTGGCAAGTCCCCTTCTTGCTGACTTCCTATAGCTGCCAGGTGGCATCTCTCTCCCTCTCTCTCTCCACAGGAGGACAAGGATGGCTGTGGGGAGGCTGCAGTGACAATGTGGGCTTTGGGGAAGCCATTTCAAAGCAGTTTGTGGATGCACTTGAGACCGGGCAGGATGCCAGAGCAGCGATGAACCTGCATAACAATGAGGCTGGCAGAAAGGTAATGCCTTCTCCATCTGCAATGGACCCAAAAGCCAGAAGAGGTAAAAGGTGGGATTCTTTGATCCCTTACCAATAGCAGCAGGCTTTTTTATTTTTTTGAACAGGGTGTTCAGTGGAGGAACCAGTAGACTTCAGAATATCTTGTTTTATCTAGTTATAGGAAAAAGTCTTGTGGCACCTTAAAGTTTTAATTTGGCTTAAACTTTAGTGGACTATAGCCAGACACACCGTCAGAACTGATTATGCTTTAAGGCTGGTGTGATGCAATCAGCATGCATCTTGGCAGGGAACTGCTGTCACTGTGTGCAACTGCCATTGTGTACGAAGTTATAGACCTTCGTGAACAACAGGATGTGGCAACAGGGACTGCTAAACTTGGAGTTACTGCATTATGCCAGTGAGTGTAACGAATAGGATTCTGGCCTTTTTTTTATTGTGTATTTTTATGATCACTAGCCTACTTTTTGATTCCCACATGGCTTTAAAGAGATTCATGGTAAGATCATATCTATCATCCCATCAAACTCAGACTGTTTGCCTGTTCCTTTCTTTCTCCCATGCCACTTTGCTGGCATGGTTAGAAATTGGTCCTATCGGAAAACTGAAAGTGAATATAAGATGGCAGGCATTATTTAGAAAACTTGCTGACTTTCCTATTTGATATCAGCAACCATTATATCACCTTCCAGTCACCCATACAGCCTGCCTTATCACAGTGCATGCTGGCTGAGGCTGATGGGAGATAAAGCCCAAGGCATGTGAAGGGCAACACAGATGTTGGGAAAATCATATAGTCAGTCACAAATCATCAGACCTCCTCACCCTGATTTCAGATTACTTGCATGCCGAACCAACAGGAGACTTTCCAGTAAGGAAAGGTGCAAAGAATTGCATAGTTATGGCCTAGAAAGAAAGAGTCAACACTGAAAGCATGGTTATAGGGAAATGAGCAAGAACTGTCACTGTTTGGTGGACATTTCCATAATGATCGGATATGGCCTTATTTGTAACTTACAGAGCTGCAATTGTGACCTTTGAAAGGGAAACAATGAGATATGTTTTGTTACCCACTAAAGCATCTGCTCACTCTAGAACAGTGATTCCCAACCGTAGGTCCCCAGATGTTCATGGATTACAGCTTCCCGAGATCCTGGCTGGCACAGCTAGTGATGAAGGCTTCTAGGAGTTTTAGTCCAAGAACATCTGGAGACCCAAGGGTGGGAACCATTGCTCTAGAAACATTGTCAGATGCTGCTGGAAAGTGGCGGGCATAGCATTTCTGCATGAAGAGGGCTCTGCGCAGCTACCCTCAAATCGTTAGCTTGTGACGGTGTGGATGTCCTGTGGGATGAAAGGTATCCATACAAGCTGCAACAGAGACAACTGTGTTCACTTAGAGAAATTTTGCCCAGTTTTAGCCAGCCAGAATGATCAAGCCACTTAATGATTCAGGGCAACCTCCTAGAGATTTTTTTTCTGATCACTTATGTTATAGATGAAATGGAGCTTTTAGGATAAGTGCTGAACTTGACAGCTATAGCACGACATGAGGACACATCATAAAGGACTGGGAAGGGTTAAATATCTGGATTAGTCAAAATGGTGGGTTCAGAAATTAATCACCAGAGCTCAGACAGTATTACATATTAAACTGACAATTAGGAGAAAGTTCCTGACTGCATATTTATGGTGCAAACATCTGAAATCGTTTCTAGTTGACCTTCTCTGCAGATCAGAATTAAGACAGGGCTCAGATACGGCTGTTCTAGATGTTGAACTCTACAGAGACAAGGGGCATCCTGCCTACCTGGTTGTGTTGCATAGTGTTCACTGTGGTATTTTCCTTCACTGCAGGCTGTGAAAGGGACAATGAAGAGGACTTGCAAATGCCACGGAGTATCTGGCAGCTGCACCACCCAGACCTGCTGGCTGCAACTGCCTGAGTTTCGAGAAGTGGGGACGTACCTGAAGGAGAAGTACCACAAAGGACTGAAGGTCGACCTGCTGCAAGGGGCAGGGAACAGCGCTGCCAGCCGGGGGGCGATAGCAGAAACCTTCAGCTCCATCTCCAAAAAGGAGCTGGTTCACCTTGAAGACTCGCCTGACTACTGCCTGGAGAATAAGACTTTGGGTCTGCTGGGGACCGAGGGCAGGGAGTGCCTGAAGAGGGGCAAGGCCCTGAGCAAGTGGGAGAAACGTAGCTGCCAGCGCTTGTGTGGGGACTGTGGGCTAGCCGTCGAGGAACAGCGCGCTGAAATGGTGTCCAGCTGCAACTGCAAATTCCACTGGTGTTGTGCTGTTCGCTGTGAGCAGTGTCGCAAGCGTGTCACCAAATATTACTGTGTGCACAAGGAGAAGCGGGAACGCAGTGGGAGCAGTACAGCTTCCCGCAAACTCAAAAGGAAGCAGCCGTAATACCCTTGTCAACCTCTAACAACCTTCTGTCACCACTTAGCACACATCTCTCCAGTTTTGATTTATTTTCCACATATGTAGGGAAGTCCTGTTTGCATAGTGTTTAGTCCTGCTTTGGGGTCCTTACATGTTTCAGCAAAGATGAAGCCACCCTTAAAGCTATAGGATTATGGATTTTGTTTTAATTCCAGGAATTTTCTCTCCCAAGCAACGAAACAGGCACTCGTTTTAGGGGACAGAGGCCATCCTACCCTTAAAAACCTCCATCCATTTTAGGGATCATCATCAGCTTATCAGGATTTGAGTTTATTCACCCAAGTAAGGGAAAACAAGGTTCTGAGGAAACTACTCTACTTCTGCAGCTCTTACTTATATAGGCAAGGATTCCTGGAATGCTCCATCTGTGCAACCCTTCCTGCTTTCTCAAAGTTAGCCTCTTTTAGCGTGCTTACCATTAGACCTGAACTCTTTATACCATTGCATAGCTGAGATCCGAGTCATACTTCTGTTCACAGAACCAATGCAGGCAAGAGCCCCCTCCCTTTTAAAGCAGTTCTCCCCCATCTTATCCCCATTTCAGAATTCCATATACCCAGTACTGCAGTGGCAGATTTCGAAGTATAGGTGCCCCATAACCAGGCTCGCCAGCAAAGAGAGTTCCAAAACACAGGGAGCAAGCTCGATCTGTATTAACATATGAATTCTAACTGGCTTTCTTTCTACCAGGAATAGGTCTTTTGCAAAGATAATGGTGGAAATCCTGTTGTGTCATTACACTGGCGGAAGGGAAATGGTGTAGCTTGTGGTGACAGACTGCTGTTAATTAATAATTCCTGGTTGTGTGTCAAACCACTCAAATGACATACTATGAGGTACCTAAGTGGAAACTCATTGATTAGTAGCAATTTGCCATTTACCCCTTTCCCTTCTACTGGCACAACTGTGAAATAGGATTTTGGCCAATGGCTCCTAAATGCCATTTTAAATCTAACCACTCTTAAATGTTTTGCATTAGAACAAGGATAGGTTTCAACAGTACACTATTCCTTGATTTCTCTCTTAGGTTCTGTAAAGGCTGCAGCTAAATTCAGAGGCATTGCAGCAGTGGAAGATGCTATCATAGTTCTTGCTAGTGAGAAAGTCTTAGGTCATTGACCCTATGAACCTGGTTCCACTACACCATTAAATATATCTGTTTATTGTGAAAGGAAATCATGGATTGAAGCAAGGTAAGTATGTTTAGTTACCTTAAAGAATAGAGACAAAAATAGCCATGCTGATCTATGAAAAGCAGGGGAAACCCCAAATCGACAACTGTGAAGTATTTTTATTAGAACCAACTAAGTAACATACCGTGTTTCCCCAAAAATAAGACAGGGTCTTTTATTAATTTTTGCTCCAAAAAATGCATTAGGGCTTATTTTCAGAGGATGTTTTATTTTTTTCATGTACAACTATCTACATTTATTCAAATACAGTCATGTTGTCATCTTCTTCTGGTTGCTGCACAACGAGTTGCTGGTGGAAGGTAGGGTTTCACTTAACTGGGACTTATTTTTGGTGTAAGGCTTATATTACAAGCATCCTGAAAAAGTATACTAGGGCTCATTTTCAGGTTATTTTCGGGGAAACAGGGTAGAAGCATACACAGTTGCATGGTCTCTAGAATTGTTTCTCAGGATAGATGATCCCAAACCCCATGAGACTAGAGAAGGACCAGGGAAGGCCAATACTTAAGTCAGATATTGTGGTTATGAGGCCCACAGTTTAGAGTCAGTTTCAAAATGGAGATTGTAATTATATCTAGAATCAATGCCCCAGAAATATATAAAGTATACAGACTAAAAGTTGCAATGGGATACTGTAGCAGAAAGGGAACATTCTCTTGATGTTCCACATTCCAACAATTGGGAGAAGCAGGAGACGTTTGTGGTTCCTCCCTATTGCCTTATTTGCCAAAAAATCAGTAAAACTACTACATTGTTTGAATATTCATTTCCCTGCTAGATACATGCTACTCAGGTATGCACATCCAGCCTAAGTTAGAAAAAAAAGTACAGCTGCTCCCTCATCACCAAGTTCCCTCACACCTATTCAACATCTTCAGAGCATAAGATATTCTATTATTGTTGCTGGATTGGGGCTAGCGAAACTCTCACTGACTGAGTCCTGTTTTGAAATAATTCAGGAAGCCTTTGATGGTAGAAAGTGAATTATGAAGAATATCAGTTGTAATTCTTCAGTTCATAGCTGGAAAAAATATTGCTGGGTGGAGGGATTGGCTGAATGGAGTATTTCGCCCCAAATAATTGTATTATGAAAAAATATTAACCCATGGGAAGGAAATATCTGATACAACAATTCCAATTTAACTGTGAAAAATACTGGCTGAAATTCAGTAGTAACGCACAACTACATTAGGCCCATTGAATCTATGAAATGTATAGAGGAGCTGACTCATCAAATGCCCACAGATTCAGTTGGCCTACTCTAGCTGCAACTTATTGCTGATTGAAAGTAACTCATTTTATTTTGAATACTTAGATGATGGTTGGGATGCCTTTCTATGATAAGAAGTCCCAGGATTTTTCATTAAGCAGTTCATCCCTTCTTGACTGGATTCTGTGCTTGTCTTTGAGTGGAATCCTCTGCCTCTTTGATCATCTCTGCAGCCCTCACCAGTGCAATGCAGTGTGAATAAGGGGTTTTACAGACTGTGGCTGAAAAATGTCCGGGTGCCATTTGACCTTCTTAATCAGCTGCTGTCTCAGATTTAGAGATCTCATGACTCACTCACCCTCTCTCTCTCTCTTTTTCTCATACTGAGGTTGAGGTACATTTGGAACATTCACCCTTACTTTCAGTGATATTTTTCTTTGTCCTCATGCTCCTCACCAATGTTTAGCTTCTTTCTAGGAAGTCATCTTGGAAAAATTATTCCCGGCATTATGTGATACGCATTAGTGTATGCGCCAATAATGCAAAAACAAACACACTTGCAATATGGTTAGGGCTTATACATTCCTAAAGACTATGGGTCTGAGGGCCATCCAGAATACCTGGTCACAGGCTAGCTACAGTCCTGAATTGAGTACTACAAGGTAAACAAGTTCCATGGCATTGGAACCATTTCAATGTCTTCCATGTTGAGGCTCAGTGGAAAGGATCCTGTGTTCAAACAGGTCTGCGATAAGCACAGGGACTGCTTTAGGGCATACAGATAATACAAAAAAGTAAAAAAATAAATACCAAGGATTATGTGTGGTAGTGGGGAGGTAACACAGAAGTTGTTGATCAGTCAGTTACTCCTATGCAAGATGGATCTTACTCCTTTTTAAATTCTGTGTAATGTTACTTACAAAACCCTTCCCCTTAGATGACATTTATAACATCAGCAAGGTATTTAATTATGTTGTAAATAGGAGAGTTAAGCACTTTGAAGTTTTATTTATTATACAGTTGACTGTGATATACATAACTTTTTGCTGACCTAGACTGTGTATCTTTAGTTTTAGTGGACACTTTCTAATTGTGGATGGAAGACCTTTTCTCTCTTCTTCTTCTTATGTATGGGCTGGATTACACAACTTTTGTCAAGGTCTGTAGGGAACTCCCCAGGAGATATGGCATACTAAGAGGGTGTGTGTGTCCCCAGGGCACTAATCTATCTATGTTATTCTGCAATTGCTATCAATTTTCAGTATGAAAATGGTCCTAAACCAGTATAGCTATGTATTGTGAGTCAATAGATCAGTATATAAACCAATAAAAAATTTCAAAGCTCACCTTTTGCTAAGAGTTTCTGAGTAATTTTTTAAAAACATGTTTTAAATTTCAGTCTACTATACCTTGGGGATCCAGAAAGGGAAGGGACATTTTTTAAACAGTGTCAAAAACCTTGGTAACAGCTTGGGTTTATACACAATGGTTTATTCTTGTAAAAGCATCTTCACATTCTGAAACATGCCGTGCTACTTTTTTTTCTTTAGAAAACTGACATTTCATCAAATACGGGCACCTTTCTAAAGTCATGCTAGATTATCAGCTTGTCTTGCATTGGTGTGTGATCAGTTTCCTATTATTAACTGCGCTACATTAATTCCAGATCCTGGAGACTAAAGATTCATGTTCAGAAAAAGAGAGAAGGCTGACTGGCAAGTAATCAAGTGCAGGAGAAGTGGGAATAGAATAGAATACCATATCCTTTGATATTCATTAACTTGGACATCAATCATCGCTGGCAAAATAAACCAGAGGGTTTTTTTTTATATCAGACACAGCTGCACTGTTGCCCCCTCTCCATATGAAAAAAAGGACACATATTTATGAAGTGAGGCTCTTAGAAATGACAACCAGCTCTTGTCAAGACAATTGTCCACCACAACCCTCTTGGAAGCTCCCAGATCTGATCTCCTCTTTTCTATCTCTCTCAGTTGTTCTTGCAGCTTCTGCACCATCATCTGAGGACCAGGCTTCTTGCTGTTACTTTGTGGAATAGGACTGGTGGTGGGCAGTGAGACAAGGGAGCTCATGCCAAATGCAGAGAGCTGGGAGTTGGCATTGCAGTGTAACCAAGCACAGCTGTGTATGGCAGGGATGCAGAAGGCAGAACTGTCTCACAGCTACAGATATAAAAGGGGAGACAGGGAGATGCAGGTAGGTTGGACATCTTGGGCAGTTCATGTGTTCATTGCACTGACATCTCCCACTTAGTGCAAAATTGGGCATGCCTGCATTTTGTGAACATACATGCATCCACTTACTTCTAAAGTGGGCATGTGGGGGGCGCATTTCTGCTTTTTCTTTTTTGCTTACCGCACCATGCTCCCTTGTATTATGCTGCTGTTTTAATCCAGCTCAAAACTTTTCTGGTGTCACAGCCTGGTGACTTCAAATGTAAGAATGGAGTGAGATACAGCAGAAGAGGGTGATTGTATTTTTAAAAAAATCTTCCAGATGTCCCATCCATGTCTGGTTTGACCCAGAGCGCAGCTGGTCCAGGCCTAAAGTCTGCATCTTAAGATAGGATGTGATGGGGGTGAAAATCTCTGTTCTGTTCCTGGTCCTTTCACCACCAGGCTTAGAATGCCTCTTGGGGGTCGCCCTGTCGCTGCAGCCTAGGTTGCAGTCATTTGCGCCTCTTAAGTTGGGCAATTGAAAACAAGAGAGGAGCATCAGCACCTTGGATAGCACCCAACAGTGCTGGGGCTGGAAGCCCAACAAGGACTTCTGAACACTCCTTCAACTAAGGTCCCACCCAGGCTGAGCTTTAAATAAATAATAATAATAAAAAGTACAGTGTGGAGTGGAGCCAGGTAGATCATTTCTTCTTCCAAGGTAAAGGATTTAGGCTACTGATTCCTGACAATGTTTTCTCCTTCTTCCTCCCTATTTAGTTCTCAGCTTTCATAAACATATAATAAAATATGAAGTTAGTAAAACTTAGGTTGTTTGACTCCTCAGAGATACAGGAGAATTTTCATCAGTTTCCTGTTTCAGAACTAGTTATGGGATGAAGATGCTTTTGAATGCCTTGACAGACTGTTTATGTTGGGAACAGAATAGGGGATTTTTTAGACAAGAGCAACCTTTATATATTCAGGCATAGTATTTTTCTGGTCCACTTGGGGGGGTGGGGTGGGGGCTGGATTTAAAGCAGTCATTCCCATTTTAGTACCATGCTTCCTTTTTGATTATTTGACAGACTCTCACCTTTCCTTTGTTGTTGTTATGTGCAGTCAAGTCACAACTGGCTTATGGCAACCCTAACAGGGTTTTCAAGGGATGTGAGATATTTGAAGAGTGGCTTTACCACTGGTACATGAACACACAGGTACGTTTCCACAGCCAACTGTGGATTTGAACCCAGGCCTCTTGACTCACTTTGTCCATCACTTTGTCCACCCACACCAAACTGGATCTCTACCACATTGTTTTAACAAATAATTTTATGATTTATAGTTACTACTACTACGACTACGACTACTACGACTACGACTACGACTACGTCGTCTACTACTACTACTACTACTACTACTATCACACTAAGTTGCTAGTGCTAAACAAGATAAGTTCAGGAGCTTTCCTGGAGACTCCAAGCACAGCTGCACAGATGTCAACTTTATGACACTATTGGGTTTGTATGATTGTGGAAGGAAGCAGGGACGGGGACTCAAGTCATGGGACCCACTGTCAAGTTAGACTTAAGTCACACAGGTGGCTCGACTTGGGTTCCCTCTTCCCCACAGACTTGGACTTGACTTGCGACTCACAGCCCATCCTTTTTTTCTGGAGAAAAAAGCTTGTTTTTAATAGGGACTTGGACTTGGGGCTTGGTACCGAAGACTTAGACTTGGACCCAAACTTGGACTCAGACCCAAAGACTTGCGAACATCC